ACATCTTTTCCAAACACTATAGAGGCCTTATAAAAAGAGCCCACTTCCCCACTAAAGTAACAGGTGTTTCTTCTGAGCCGATGCACTTGTGTATGTGCATTTTAATTTTTAAAAGGCAGATGCGTACTACACAACACTCTCCATATAACTCTGTTCATGTAAGCCCTCAGGGCATGTTCCAGGCCAGTTCGTCTGGGCCCAACAGCTCTGTGACTGTTCTGTGTGGGAGGCACTGCCGCTCATTGTCCAATTCCCTTAGGGATGGACACGTAGGCTAATGCCAGGTTCTCACATGACAATGATGCCACAGTAAACAACCTTAGACATATATCCTTAATCTGCTAGACTACTGGGTCAAAGGGTATGAGTGGTTTAAATGTGATAGATGCCAAAATGTGTTTCCAAAAAGGGTGGTAGTGTCCACTCCCAACACACTTGGTAAGAACGGCCATTTCTCTCCATCCTCACCAGCATGCTGCCAATTTTTAATCTGACTGGTGAAAACATGGTGCATTAGTGATTGGCTATTCCTTTCCTCTGTGACTGAGGAAACTAAGGACTTGTCCTGGCTGCTGCTCATTTGCATTTCTTTTTCCATAAACTGTCAGGATACAGCCTTTGCCAATTTCAAATGGGTTAGGTGTCTTTTTATTAATGTGTATGAGCCTTTCCTTTATTAGGGATCATTCATAATGCGTACAAGATTATTTTTTTAAGGATTTTATTTGAGAGAAACAGACTCCCCACCGAGCAGGGAGCCCAACCGGGAGCTCTTTCCAGGACCCTGGGATTATGACTTAAGTCGAGGCATCGGAGCCACCCTGGCACCCCTACAAAGTTATTTCATTGCCTTTGTGGCATTTTGTCCTGCAGAAATTTTTATTTTCACATGATCCGTTTTAATTTCTCATGAGTTTTTTTTAATTTTTTTTAATTTTTATTTATTTATGATAGTCACAGAGAGAGAGAGAGAGAGAGAGAGAGAGAGAGAGAGAGAGAGAGAGGCAGAGACACAGGCAGAGGGAGAAGCAGGCTCCATGCACCGGGAGCCCAACGTGGGATTCGATCCCGGGTCTCCAGGATTGCGCCCTGGGCCAAAGGCAGGCGCCAAACCACTGCGCCACCCAGGGATCCCTCTCATGAGTGTTTTTTTCTTCCTTATCTCTGAAGTTTTACAGTTAGTGTGTGTTTTTTTTTTTTTTTTTTGTAACATCTTAACCTTTATTTTATATTTAGATCTCCAGGGGTTTTTTTTGGAAGGAAGTATTTTGAAGATGACCTACCATGCAATATTTACTTATTCCTGACGGCTGACTACTTACTGCCAAAGCAACTTTAAACGAGGACACCTTAACTTGTTTGGGGATTACCAATTATTAGCTGTTGATCTTAAAGACATCAAGGTAGCACTTTTAGTTAGGGGTAGGGTATAGCAGAAAAGTTTCGTTCCTGTCTGATAGGGGTGTACTTCCTCTTTTAAGTGACTCATTACACACAAAAACTTGATTCAGTCAACAATCAAATCTGTAAGTGCTGGCATGAAAACCACTCATTTAGCACAAAATCTGAAAACATTTATTAATGCGTTCCTTCTACATTTTTCTTCAGACCATAAAAATTAAGAGGTTTGGAGGCAAGAACATTAGATGGGATGTTTAAAACAAAAATTAAAGAACTAAATACACTTGATGTGATCTGAACACGTGAAAGTTCCTCCCTCTGGACACTCACAAAATCCAGTTAAGAGTGTATTTTGTTCCCTTTTAAATAGCTGTTAAAGTTAACAGCTCATATACTAACATCTAAGCACTAGCACCCACTAAGCACTGGCCATGTGCAGCACCTGTGCTAAGCACCCAGCATGCAGTGCTCTCTCTAATGCTTGCGTTAACAGTAGGAGGCGGCAATCCTATTTTACAGAATGGTCACAGAAGGTGGGACTTAGTAGATTTGAAACCCGTTTGATTACATGTCCAAAACCACTCTTCTCTGGGGCTGTGAAAAGGAGTAGGTCTTTTATCGTTCCCTGCATCAGCTCAGAAATTTGTGGCACCTGCACGTCAAGCGTGAGGGTCATGATGGTGCAGTTTTTGCCTCATCTTCCCATCCACTTTATGAAATCAACCTTATTTTCTTTTCATTTTACTCCACTTTTATCAATCGATATCGATTTTCTGAAACAAAGTATAGCATTTAAATTAGCTCTTCAAAAATCACGTTTTTGGGATCCCTGGGTGGCGCAGCGGTTTGGCGCCTGCCTTTGGCCCAGGGCGTGATCCTGGAGACCCGGGATCGAATCCCACGTCGGGCTCCCGGTGCATGGAGCCTGCTTCTCCCTCTGCCTGTGTCTCTGCCTCTCTGTGTGTGTGTGTGTGTGTGACTATCATAAATAAATTAAAAAAATAAAATAAAAAAAAAATCACGTTTTTGCTTTTTTTTTTTCCCCACAAGGTAGTGAAATCAGATGCTGTTCTTGTCCAAATGATTTTTTTTTTTTAACCCCTAACAGGTTAAATCACATCTTGTCCGTTTTACTAACTGCCTGTCAGGATAACTGTGGACCCCAACTCTATCACACTCACGTTAGTATTTATCCCGCTCAGCTTCCTGTCACTTGCAAATTCAGAAAGCATGCCTTCTTTGTTTTTAAAGCTACTTTTAAAAATACACTCAGCCCTGCAGGGCCTGTGACGGCATCATCGGTGCTCTTCCCACAAGCCGGGAGCGGTTGGTTCACTAATCCACTTTCCAGGGAATGGGGGTTTGAACACTATGGAGCCACTCTGCTGCCCTGGCATCTCAGGCAGGGTTGGCTGTGCCCTATGCTCCCCACTGCTTTTGGGGGCAAGCTGCCAAGTACCAACTTGTAAGCCTCGGTTGTCCTCAGATTTTGTATCCTCTAAGGGTGCCTTTCTCCTGTGCAAATTAATTCCAGGTAAAAAAGTCAGGGAGTTTTTTTTTTTTTTTCCCCTTCTTTTCTTTAAATGCTAGGTTTACAGGCACATCTGCAAACCCAAATTCTATCCCAAACATATTCAGAGAGAAGGTATACTCCATCAACAGGATAAAGGGGGAGGAAAAGAAAAGAAAAAAAAAATATATATATATATACAAAGCCAGAGTTTTTGCCTACAACTAGAACAATCTAGAAAGTGGATGGCTCAAAGACAGTTATTCGGCTGTTCCTGTACCGTCACAGTGGAAAGTGGGGAAAGAGCAACGGTACCATTATTGGGAATAATGGCCCCATAAGGGCCCAGCACACCGGACAAGCGGAGTCCAAGCCCGGAGGAGCAAGGGGGGGACCAAATTGCAAATTCAAAGAAGCAGTTTAAGCTCACTCCCTCCTCCACGCTGGTGCGCGCGGGGCAGCCAGAGGACTGAGCATCCCCCACCCCAACCCCGCACCCCCCAGAAGGTTCCCTTACCTAGAATCTCTGCAAATCACAAGTCTCCCAGCGTCAGAGGCCCAATTCCAGCACCGCCTCCTTCCCCACTCTTCCTGGGCGCACGACAAACCTCACTCCTCCGGGCACCCCGCATTTCCTGCAGCCCCTAACTCTGGCCAGTTTTGATTATAATCGCTTGCTTTCAGATTTGGCTCTGCAGGCGAAGGCTCCATCTACTGCCCCCCCCTCCCCCGGCCCCCCGCTTCCTGCTGGGCGGGCGGGTCGGAATCCCCCGGGGACCTTGACCACGCAGCCTCCGGGGCCCAGCCTGGAGGCCCTCCCCGGCCCGGTGGGAGGGGGAGCCTGGAAGTCGGAACTCGTCCTTAAAGTTTCCCGGGCCGGGCTCGGGAAGGAGACCCCGGGGCGGCGCGTCCCCGCAGGTGCGCACGCGGCCGACGGCGGCACCGGCCCCGGGCTCGCGGAGGCCCAGGCGCGCAGGCCCGGCGGCGCGGGCAGGACGGCGGAGCACCCCGCAGGCCCGGCGCCGGCCCCGCAGCCCGGCCCCGCAGCCCGGCCCCGCGCGCGCGGGCCCCGCACACAAAGGACGCGGCGGCCGAGCCCCCCCCCCCCCCCCCGAGCGCCCGACAGGCCGGGCAGGCCGCGCGGCCCCCGCTGCGCCGCCGCCCTCCCCTCCCCTCCCTCCCTCCCCTCGCCGGCCGGCCGGGCGGACCCCGCTTACCGACAGCCGGGCGCGGCGAGCGCTCGGGCTCCGGCAGGTCCCCGAACAGGTCCATGGCCGAGGCTGGGCGGCGGCGGTCGCGGTCGCGCAGCCCGCGGGCGGCGGCAGCGGCGGCGGCAGTGGCGGCGACGGCGGCGGCGGGGCGGTGGCGGCCCAGGCGCCGTCAATCACGCGGAGGCGGGCCCGGCCCTCCACCAATCGGCGCGCGGCGTGGCCCGGCCGCCCCAGAATCCTGCGCGCGGAGGGGCGGGGCGGAGCGGCGCGCGTGCGCGCAGGCTGCGTTCGCGGGGTGGGCGGGGCCGACGCCGCGTTCGCCACGTTCCCCGCAGGCGGCGGGGCGGGCTCTTCCTGCGGTTGCCCCGCCCGCGTGCGGTGCGCAGGAGGCGGCGGCCGCGGCGCGGCGGTGCTGGTGTCCGGAGCCGCGCGGCCCCTTGGTCCTCACACTGCCCCGCGGGGCCTGCTTCCCGGCCCGTCGTGGAGACCGAGCAGCGGAGGTGGCCCCGGGCGCCAGCACGCACGGCGCGGAGAACGAGGGGCGTAGGGCGCCTCCCTCCACCTGTCCTCGCGCGTGCAGCCCGGCGGGGGCGGGACGGGGGATGCTCCCCCCTGACTGTCCTCGTAGGTGCAGCCCGGGAGGGGCGGGACAGGGGATGCTTCCCCCTGACCTGTCCTCGCAGGTGCAGCCCGGCGGGGGAGGGACGGGGGATGCTTCCCCCGACCTGTCCTCGCAGGTGCAGCCCGGTGGGGGCGGGACAGGGGATGCTCTCCCCTGACCTGTCCTCGCAGGTTCAGCCCGGCGGGGGCGGGACAGGGGATGCTTCCCCCTGACCTGTCCTCGCAGGTGCAGCCCGGGGGAGGTGGGACAGGGGATGCTTCCCCCTGACCTGTCCTCGTAGGTGCAGCCCGGCGGGGGCGGGGCAGGAGATGCGTACCCCACCTGTCCTCGCAGGTGCAGCCCAGCGGGGGCGGGTCGGGGGATGCTTCCCCCTGACCTGCCCTCGTAGGTGCAGGCGCGAAAGGGGCGGGGAAAAGGGATGCTTCTGCGAGGTGCCCCGAAGAAGTAGCCGGTCACCTCGCCGGCAGGCTGGGCGTGCAGCGAGGCCCCGGCATCCTCCTGCTGAATCAACACAGTCTGAGCCACGGGGGACGTCAGCCTCCAACAGAGGAAGAACTCTTACAAGGCCACAGTCGTCGTGTCTGAACACACGAACGTGAGCGTAGCACAAGCCACAGAAATGACCAGACCTCGCTCCGCCCTGCCCAATACAAGTGACTGCTGCTTCTGGACCTGTTACAGAGTGAGCTTTGTCTGGGCCCCCTCCTGCCTTTTAGAGAAGATTGAGTGAGGCATTCCCGCTGGGCATTACCCCCTCGTCCTGACACCCAATCCACATCAAAGCCCCCCTTCCTTACCTGCCCCCCAAAACTACTTGCCACAAACCCCTGTCTCCTAAGTGCTTTCCAACATCCCCCTACCTCGGTGTCCGGGGGCAATGGTCTCCCTCGCTGCCGTCGTAAGAAACCCAGCTTGTTTCCACTGCAGACCTGTTTCTGGTGGGGTCTGGCTTTGGGACTGTGTAGGGCCCAGCAAGCCCCGCACCTCTCTTCCCCTCTGTGACCCCTCACTCACGGTGTTTGAGACGTCGGTGCTCTCTCTGCCTCCTCCTCCCTCACAGCAGAAATACTCTGACAGTGCTCACAGGCTCTCCTGTCCTTGCCTTTGGTGCACAGAGCAGCCCACCCCAACCCAGCGTGACCTGACGACTTCTCCAGAGGAGCTCTCCCTAAGGCCTCCAGTGACTTCCCACTAATGCCAAATGGAGCTGACCTTTCTAGTCATCATCTTCTGTGAATCCCACCAGTGGACGCCGGTGGCCTCTTTCTCTTCGGCTTGTGAGACATCCCTCTCCTGGTTTTCTTCCTGTTCTCTGGCTGCGCCATCTCTGCCTCCTCCGTGGGCCCAAAGTCCTCTGCCTGGCTACTCGTGAATGGAATTCCTTCACACTAGATCCTGAGTCCTCTCCTCACGCTGTACTCCCTCCCTGGGCAATCTCCTCCACACTTGGCTTGAATTACGGTTCACCTGAACATGGTTCGTTAATCTATACTTCCTACCAGCTCAAGATCATGAGTCAGATAAGTACCCACGTGACATCTCTTGGACGTCCCAAAAGTGCCTCAGATTCAACGTGTCCCCCTTGGAACCATTCTCTCCATGCACCACCCCTACCCCTTTCAATCTGATCTGCTTCTTGGGTTGACACAGCCCTGGGCTCCTAACCCTACAACACCTCTATAGGAGACAGCGTCTGAGTGGCCTCATGATCTCCATCTCCTAGGGTTCAACCGTTGTGTGGTCCCCTTCCCTTGAGTGTGACCAAAGCCCATGACTTGCTCAGGCCAACAGAGGCCAGCAAAGGTATCGGGGTGGATGTGATTCATTCATTCTTTTTTCAAAGATTTTATTTATTTATTCGTAAGAGACACAGAGAGAGGCAGAGACATAGGCAGAGGGAGAAGCAGGCTCTGGTGCAGGACTCTATCCCAGGACCCTGGGGATCACGCCCTGAGTCAAAGGCTGACGCTGAACCACTGAGCCACCCAGGTGCCCCTGGATGTGATTCTTTCACACAGGATTGTGACACCCATTCTGCTCGGGGACCCTCCTTCCCTTGCTGGCTCTGAAGAAGCAAGCTGCCATGCTGTGCACTGCAGTATGGAGAGGAACGCGGTAACTGAAAGAACTGAATGTGGCTTCCAGGTGACAACCAGCCAGAAACTGAGGCCTTCAATCCAAGAGCCCTCAAGGAAATGAATGTCGCTAACAGCTGTCTGAGCTTGGAAGCAGATCCTTCCTAGTTGAGCCTCAGATGAGAGCCCAGCCCTGGCCAGCACCTGACTGCAGTCTCGCAGAGGACCCCATTGTGCCCAGACTCCTGACCCACAGAAACTGGGATACTAGATGGATGTGGCTCTAAGCTGCTAAGTTTGTAGTAATTTGTTAGAGAGCACTAGATGCCTAATACAATCTCCATCACCAAGTCCTATCAGTTTTGTCTTCTGAATGCATTTTGGTTCCAATTCCTGACTCCCTCTCACCAAGTCTGTCACTAAATAACAGCGTCTGGGCAGGATTCTCTCTCAGAACTTCCCTCGGTCTTTTGTCCTGTCTCTGTCTTGTGTTAGGACATTTTCGTGGCTCGGTATATTCCCCTTGACCTCTCCTCCTGGGTAAATTCCATTCATTCCTCAGGAAAATCTTTCTTGAGTGCCCTAAGCCTCATCTCCCTTTATATCTTTGCTTTAGAGCTTTTGTTCACCACAGTTTTACAGGTATTTATGTAATTATTTCCTTCATGAGCTGTATCTCCCATCAGTATGTAAGCCGGTGGAGGTCGGGAACCATGTTTGGTTTTACACATAACTGTACCCCCAGTACATGGCACATAATAGGTGCTCACGTAGATTGGTTGGATGAGTGAATGAAAGAATATGTCCATTTTTGAAGCTCAAAGTGAAGAACACAAGCCTTCCCATCTCAGAAATACCAGGAAGGTGGGAACCAAGAGCGGTGCTTCCTGTGTTATTGCTCAGGATTGCCCAAATGAAGTTCATTATTTTGCTCTTAGGAGAAAAAAAAAAGCATAATTTCAGATTTTAAGAACGTAAACTGTCTAGAGACAAGGAACATACCTCATGTCTGAAGATATCAGCTGCCTGTGTGGCAAATGGTATTTTCCAAAATTTGCTGCAATGATCTCTCCCATCCCTCGTGCTTTTCTAAAATGTGTCCCCGCCACCTTCCATCAAGAGGTAGGCTGTGAGTCTCCCCTTGAACCGGGGTGAACTGTGACTGCCTTGGCCGTTAGAGAATGAAAGATGTGCCATCATATAATCTCCAAGACTAGCTCATAAGGGATCCCTGGGTGGCGCAGCGGTTTGGCGCCTGCCTTTGGCCCAGGGCGCGATCCTGGAGACCCAGGATCGAATCCCATATCGGGCTCCTGGTGCATGGAGCCTGCTTCTCCCTCTGCCTATGTCTCTGCGCCTCTTTCTCTCTCTCTGTGACTATCATAAATAAGTAAAAATTAAAAAAAATTTTTAAAATTTCCATTTAAGACTAGGTCATAAAAAGCTATGCAGCTTCTCTGAGACACTTGCTGAGGAGTCAGTCACCAACTAAGGAGAAGCCCCGTGTAGGCACAGCGTTCAGCAACTCCGGCTGAGCTCCCAGCCAGTAACAGTGCTGGCTGCCAGCCTTGAAGGTGAGTCATCGAGGACATCTGTCCAGTGGAACCCTCAGATGACTCCAGCCCCAGCCAACATCTGACTGCAGCCTCATGAGAGACCCCAAGCAATGACTGCCCAGCTGAGCCCTTCAAAAATTTCTGACCCACAGAATGACAAGCAAAACAAATGTTTCTAAAGGTGCTAAGTTTGGGGGTAATTTGCTACAGAACAGTAGTAAGTGGAACAGAAATTTGTTGTCCAGAGTGGAGCACTGATGCCTCAAAAACCATCTGTGGGCCTAGGCGGCAGGCAGCTAGAAGGGTCTGGAGGGCTGCTGGAGGAACCCTGACCACCGGGCCTCAAGGCCGTAAATGAGTGCTTCATGAGAAGTCAGCAAAATGTTAGCAGAACGTGTGGGAAAGCACACTGTGAAGAGTTTAGCACAACTAGTGCCCGCAGTGATAAGGGAAATGGAAAATGTACCCAGTGAACTGACGAATCTGGCAAAGGAGATTTCCTGGAAAGATGGTGGAATTGCCAACTGCAGCTGTGGGAAGATCTCAAACCAGAGGTGCCACGCCAAGCCCTGCTGAATATGAGCAAAAGGAAGTGGTGGTTGTAAACTGCTCAATTTGGGAGGGCCTTACGACGCAGCAGCGCTAACCGAACAACCTGATAGACTTGTGCACTGTCAGAGCCAGCTGGAGGATGAAGAAAATGACGCCGGGCTGTCTTCCAGGGTGGTGGGAAGGATTTTATAGCGGCTGCACATGGGGAAGTTTGAATAAGTGTCAGAAAAGGTCTCTTGCACTGTGCAAAAGGAATTCACTTTGCTATTTTCATTGTGAAGAAGGGACAGAAAACTGAGAACTGTTTGGGGCCTGGCGCTAGTTTGGTGCTTTGCATTTGATAATTTGATACCATCTCTTAAGAGCCTTCTGAGGAAAGTAGTAGAGCCTGTTCTGTAGGTCTTCAGGTGAGAACCCATGAGCACTTGAGTAAGATAACCACCAAGGCTGGGGGAAGAACAGTCAGGAAGGAACAGGGATAGTAACTCTCGAAGTTCCTACAGGGCCAGGAATAGTTCCTGCATCCATTAGCCAGAGTGGAAAATCCTCAAAATACGGGAGACGTGTGTGCGTGGGCACCCAAGTGGATGTGTGGGGTGCACAGCATGGTGAAAGTGCTGTGAGGGAGCCTGGACTGGACATCTCTCGGGGTCTTTAAAGTCAGGTGTGGTCTTTAGATTCATTTTGGATAAAGGGCAGAGCATGATGGCATGGATTTGGGGCCACATCTCTGTAACTGATGGAGAGGAGTTGGGTAGGTAGATAGGACTCGAAGTCCCAAGTTGAGTTGGGGTCATATCACAAGGAGTCCTAAATACCAAAAGGATGGGTTTAATTCTGGAAGAGCCATAGACCTTTTCACAGTTAGAAAAACGTCAGTGTCCTAAAAAGGCAACGAATGGGCCCTCGGTCTCCTACTCCTACTCATACCCTCTGTCTGCAATCAAGGGCCATTTCATGGAATGATAAACCCAGCTATTGTCCAGGCAGGAAGAAACCCTCTGGGCGTTGTAATCCTAAAGCCCTGAAATCCCACCTGCTTTGAGTTAGAAGGGAAATGTGCCCCACTCAGCTCCCTTTCCAGGTTCAATTTATTGGCTTCTCTTTATCTAAACATTGACACACCCCAGAGCATAGTACCAGATCCTCTTTTGTCCTCAGTTTACTCCCAAAATCATCTTTTTTAGTTCCTTGGCTTTAAAAATACCTGTATTCGGATGATACACCTGCATATATCTGGCCTTGATCTCCTCTCAGAACTCTACATACATATATATCCCCACCTACCCACTCAGCATCCCCCCATTGGATATCTAATAGGCGTCTCAAATTCTACCTTTTAGCACATATGCAAAATACAACTCCTGCCCTCTCCCCAAAACCTGTTCACTCTAGTGTTTCTTAAATCACCATTTACCCAGTGGTTCCTACCAAAATTTCGGCATCAGCCTTGATTCGTACCTTCCCCTCATCCCATACATAAAATTTGGTAGTAGATCGTGCCTGTTCTACCTGCAAAATTTTCACATCCCATTTCTGCCACTGTGATCCCAGACCAAGCCCCATTCATACCTCTTTTTATTGCGCTTTGCTTGGTTGTGCTTCACAGATACCGCAATTTTTACAAATAGAAGGTTTGTGGCAATCCTGTGTCGAGCAAGTCCATTGGCACCATTTTCCCAACATTTGCTCACTTTGTGTCTCTGTGTCACATTCTGGTGATTCTTGCAATATTTCAAACTTGTTCCTTATAATATTTATAATGGTGGCCCGTGATCAGTGATCTTTGATATTTCTACTGTAATTGGGGGCGCTACGAACGTCACCCATGTAAGATGGCAAACTTAACCAATACGCTGTGTGTCCTGACTGCTCCACTCACCAGCCATCCCGTCTCTCTCCCTGTCCCCAGGTCTCCCTGTTCCCTGAGACACAACGATATTGAAATTAGGCCAACCAGTTAATAACCCTACAATGGCCTCTAAGTGCTCAAGTGAAAGGAAGAGTTGCATGTCTCTCACTTTCAATCGAAAGCTAGAAATGACGAAGCCTAGTGAGGAAGGCACGTGGAAAGCTGAGACGGGTCAAAGGTAGGCCTCTTGCACCAAACAGTTATCCCAGTTGTGAGTGCAAAAGCTAAGTTCTTGGGGAAATGAAAAGGGCCACTCCAGTGAACACACCGATGACAAGAAGGCAGAAGAGCCTCACTGCTGATGTGGAGAAAGTTTTCGTGGCCTGGAGAGATCATTCCCTTAAGCCAAAGCCTAATCCAGAGCAAGGCCCTGACTCTCTTTAACTCTGGGAAGGCTGAGGGAGGAGGAGCAGCTGCAGGAGCAAAGTCGGAAGCTGGCAGAGGTTGGTCCGGGAGGTTTAAGGAAAGAAGCCAGTCGTCTCCGTAACATAGAGGTGTAAGGTGAAGCAGCAGGTGCTGATGGAGAAGCTGCAGCAAGGTGTCCAGATCTAGTAAGAGAACTAGTGACCGTGGCTACACTAAACAACAGATTTCCCCTGTAGACGAAGCAGCCTTATGTTGGAGGAAGAGGTCATCTAGGGTTTCCACAGCTAGAGAGAGGTCAGTGCCCGGCTTCAGGGCTTCAAAGGACAGGCCGCCTCTCTCGCTTGATGCAGCTGGTGACTTTACGTTGAAGCCGGTGCTCATCGAGCATTCTGGAAATCCGGGGGCCCTTCAGAATTATGGGAAACCTACTCGGCCTGTGCTCTATAAGGCTGACAGCACATCTGTGCCCAGCACGGTTTACTGAATATCTTAAGCCCACCGTTGAGACCTACTGCTCACAAGAAAAGACTCCTTTCAAATGACGGCTCACTGACAACGTACTGGGTCACCCAGGAGCTGTGACGGAGAGACCAGGAACTTCATGTTGTTCTCCGTCCTGCAGCCCACGGGTTAAGGAGTAATTTTGACTTTCGAGTCTCATTATTTGAGAAATGCATGTGATGAGGCCATAGCTGTCACAGTGGTTCCTCTGATGGGTCTGGGCAAAGTAAGCTGAAAACCTGGAAAGGATCCACCCTCCGAGATACCAGTAAAGACATGTGTGATTAATGAGAAGAGGTCAGAAGGTCAACATTAATAAGAGTTTGGAAGAAGTCGATGCTGGCCCTCATGGGTGACGTGGGGAAGTCACTGCAGACGAGCCGGAAGCGGCAGGGGAACCGGGTTCCAAGTGGAGCCTGAAGGTGGGGCCGAGTTGCTGCAATCTCAGGAGGAAACTTGAATAG